TCTGTTCTAAAATCTTTACGTGACAAACCAAGTTTCGGCCCTGAACAATGCCAGATAAAGAATATAGCAAATATTGAGACTATTTTAAGAATTGCTGTGGGAAAGACATCAAATCAATGATTCAGGTATGCACATTTGTGGATGCAGTAATTAGCATTATGCCATCAAAAATAGTAGCCTCAAATCACAAGCCACTGGTTGAGTATAAGGAAAAATTACAAATGGAAAGGATTTACTCCAATTTAGGAATTTTGCTGCAAATCCCCTATAAATACTGTCATTTCCTAAGATTTCTTACTGGAAAATCTGCTTTCCCCATTCATAAGGAATTACTTGGGGAACATCATTCAGGCAACATTTAATCAGAAAAAAATTAAATTGCTATCCTTTACTATTAACAAGTGTTCCTATTCCTTCTAAGATCATGTCACATGTTATTCTGCCATATTTTCTTCCATCTTGGTTATCTGTTATCACTTATATTTCCTGGCCTCCAACTCCTTATCATTTTAGGAAAGTTAAAATTATTTTACACTCTCCTAACAACCATTCCTGTTAGGAAAGAAATTATTTTGATTTATCATTTGGTGGGGCTACTGCTCATTACTAGAAGATCTGAGAGCATGACTGCTTCCACTCTTCTCTTCTTCTGTGCAGAGAAAGATAAACTCCATTCAAAATTACCAAGTACCAGACCCATAAATCCAGTATCATGCTACTTCCAAGTTAGTGCTATCAGAATCTAGAAGAATAAATCTCAGGGAGTACATACATACCCCTACTACCAGACCTATATAAAATGACTTATTCCCACACTGATATGCCCTTATGTTTTCTAAAAACATTAACCAATATTTGGCCTATATTAATTAAAGCACAAAATTTTTTAAACAATACATGTCACTGACTATAAAGGTCACACTCCTACTGATATAGAAATTTCAGGTACTCTAGGATATCATCCAGCCTTTCTGGAAATCTATAATTTTCTTTACGTCAAGCCATGTTTATGACTAAAATATATATTAGTAATTAGGCACTTCTGATGAATACACCAATAAATATTATTTTATACTAAACAATGTCACATATGCATATAATCACATATGCACAGAATTTTACACTTGGATTACTCTTTGGTAAAAATGCCCTCTCAAAGGCTTATGTGGCATAAGCCTTATAAGATGGCATCTAATACGTGATTTACACATCAACTGAAAAGTTGGATGAGAAAAATTACCTCTAAAATTCAATATATAAAGAAATGTAAAGCCCAGTGTGGTGGGCACAAGCCCATAATCCCAACTAACCTGGAGGCTGAAGCGGGAGAATCTAAAGTTTAACGCCAGCCTGGACAATTTAGAGAGACTGTCTCAAAATAAACAATCAGAAGTGCTGGGAACATACACGTGTTCAGCAATGGAGTGCTTGCCTAGCATGTGCAAGGCCCTGGGTTAAGACCCAGTCTGCAAAAAGAGAGAAATAAAAGCTTCCAACAAACACAGATTCAAGTAAGGAGTATCCATGTTTTTGACTTGAGTGCAGTGAGATTTTCATGTAATACAACTCTGAAAAGTACCTATAAGTTTTAAGTTTTACAGTAAAGAAAGTTCTGCCTCTTGGTACACATTTATATAATCCTCTCAACTTCAAAAAAAAAAAAAAAGAAAGAAAGAAAATTCCATTAAAAGTACATATACACATTTATATAAATGAACAAAATTTGTATTTATAGTACATACCAGGGCACACCATTTAGTATTCACAATTTATACTCTGTCAATCAGTAGTCATTAGCAAACTACAAAAATAAAAACCATTAACTAGATACACACACACACACCACTAAGGGATCCTTACAATTAGGTTTTTAACAGTCTTCAACTGCAGTTGACAGTTCACAATTGCAGCCATTCATGGGAGTTCCTGGAATATGGCCTATAGAGATCCCACTGGTCAGTTATCTATGGAAAGCAATCTCCTACTGTGTTCCTTTTAGGGCCAGTAATATTTTACACTCTTCCCCCATTTAGAGGAGTCTGTTGAATGTATAGGTAGTTGTTTAATACAAATTCTATACCATTCACTGTAAAAGTGATACACAATTCTTTATAAAGTATATTTTCAGCCATTGTATATCCACCAGTTTACATAAAATCAATTTAAAGAGTCTCAACAACTAATCATGAGCCTTTTTAATGAAAATGTCTAAAAAAGATATCATGGTAATTAATAACATAGTAAGCAAGTAATGAAATTTGAGAACTTTTGCAATACAATCATCAGTCCTTTCAAAGATATAACATTTAAGATACATTAATATAAGGCCTGGTCCTGCAATATAAATGACCTTGAAATTGAACTTATAGAGTCTCATATTAGGTAATGGAACCAAAAATCACAAAATAAGAGTTTTCGGCCTACAACCCACACTAATTTTTGTTTTCCCTCCTTTTCTCAAAAAAAAAAAAAAAAAAAAAGAAAGAGAAAAAAGAAAAAGAAAAAAAAAAGATTACATTATTGCATTTACCAAAGTCCTAAATTTTTTAAATTTTCAAATATTTCCTTGGGATCTAAAGGATTTGTCAACTAGTCACAAAGTTTGTCTTAATTACTCAGGACCTCTCATTCCGATTTATTTTACTTTGAATGACTGCAAATAAAACTGTGTAGAATTTAATAAGGCAATCCAAAACCAATGTACTAAAATTGAGATTTTTTTAGTAAAACTGTAGTATCCCTAAAAACAGTCATCTTATAATTTAATTTATGCCTGGAAAACTTTATGATTTCAAGCTTAAAACATTAAAATACCCTGTCTTTTACAAAGGCTTTTGGTTTAAAAAAAAAAAAATTACTATTTCTATTTAATGGATTCAATCCTTCACCAGGTGTGTTGGTCCTGTGATAAAACGTCAAATGTGTAAGATTACATCTTGGAAACTAGCATGTTAAATTAAAAACCAATGAAAGTTTGTAATAAAAATTAGAATTGCACATTTGATAAGCAACACAAATTTTAAAAGACTGGGGAGAGGGAGGGAAGTCTCATGTTTAAAACAGGACTACACACGTATCAAAACCCTTGCACTAGATTAACTGCTGCAAACTGCTAAGAATGTATGATAGTATCTGTAGTTCAAACATGGAGTCTGTGAATGATTCTTCAGATGATCAACTTTTAACACAGTAAGGACAAACAAATGCATCTCTGAGGTCATACCCTAAAGAATACATTTCAGAATTTCAGAGATGTCAACAGATCTCTCTGCTTCAGTCCATAAAATCTCACTAAAGTTCTGAGAAGTATAATTACATATTTACAAACTAAGAAAGGTGTGATGTATTTTTCATTCATAGATATACTTGTGCATGGAAAGAAGGGGTGGTTGGTAAACCAGTCATTTTTTGAAGAGATATCGGGCAGTGCACAGAAACAGAGGTAATTAAAAGGTTATTTACCAATTTATCAGGAAAAAAAAAATTGGTGTCTTGCAACTAGAAGAGGTATAAGATGCCTGTCAATTATTTCAAAGGTGAAAAAAAAATGGACTCAATTTGATTTCGGGTTTGCCCCTATATGTGGAAATGGAAGCATCTATAAAAGGAGAGAGATTTTTCTAAGTGGCTTGTGGAATCAGTTTCTTTACTTGGTAGTCTCACCCATGTAAAATTTCTCAAAGACTAGCTAGCTGAGCTCACTGATGGGCATGTGGAGTTCTCAAGTGGAAGAAAGACTCCCCACAAGCAAGTCACCTATAAAAGAAGATGAACTTTGAATTACAAAAAGTAGTGAAGATAAAAGAATTTCAGTGAGCATTTTTCAAACCAACAGAAGTATATAACAAAAATACAAGGCTAATTAGAAATGGGAAGAAAAGAATGTGAAGAAACTAAGAAACATAGGTAGAAAATTTTTTTTAACATTTTACTGTATCTTTCCACATAAACCTACAAAAATAGTTTTGTTTAAAATTAATCTGGCTCAAAAAACTCTGTAAATAAATATGTAACTGTAAAATGTCTGAACTCACTCTGTAATTTTTAAATGTAATTTAAAATGTTGTAACAAGTATTTTAAAATCTAGTGTATTTGTAGCATGTCAAACTTCCCTGCAATGTTTCTTCAAAACCACTAAAAGCCCTCATTAAACTATAACTAAACATCAACTCTTGTAGAATGATGTAGCAACACACAATTTTCACTTAGGCCATTAAAAAAGCATCCCTTACATAGAGGGAGCCAATTATTGACATTTATACTATAAAATTACTCCCAATTCCAAGAACTACATGTTCTTTAACTATGTTAAAAGAATTTTCAGGCCTTTCCTTTTCTATATTAAAAGGACTGATGGAAGATAAGAACATCTTTCCAATATATTTTTTGTTTAATAAAACAAAAAAATAATATCTTAGAAAAGTCACTGGGAAGTCTCACAACCCTCTTCTATTTAAAGGTTGAACTAAGTATGATGTTTGAAGCTGAATTTGACACTTCACTCTCTCTTCAGCCTTTCCAGATACACTGGAGACCATTCCTTACCTGTATTGTTTTTGCTGTTGTTGTTGTTGTTGTTTTTTTGCTAGAGGGGCAGTCTGGTTTCCCAGAATGGAAAACTTAATTCATGTTTCAGCACCAAAATTCACACTGGTAAAACTGCTATAGTGCTCAAGTGTGATTAATATCTAACAAAAGAACAATCCTTTGGGAGCATAATAGCTACCACCTCTAAATTATTAAGGTTACACTGAAATCCATATTTTAATAAAGTGTTGCATCCCCACCCATTTAAGCACTTTTTAAGAAACCGTGACAAGCCCAGTTCTCTCATTACAGGCTTTTACTTAAACAATTTAAATCAATTTTAGTAAACTAAATCTTATATTTAAAAATAGAGAGGCCTCAATTGAAAAAAGAAAATTTCCCAAAGCTGCAGCCTATGCTATGATGTTTGGCCAAGCATTCCTATCCAATATTTAAAATAAGAGTTCCATACCTGTCTTCATCACCATCAACAGGAATAGCTATGCTGAACACAGAGGTGGCGAGGTTGTTCATAGGTGTTAACTGGAGGGGGTTGGCCAGGGCATCTGCAACAGGAGGCTTCACAACAGGCTTATTTTCAGCAATGAGAGAAAGTGGTGGTTGAGGTAGGGGTTCTGATTTTCTTCTAGTATCGTCAACTTGCCCGACTAAAGGCTGGGTCTGAGTTTGAAACTGGCTTAGGTCAGACTGTGGTAGACTTGTTGGTGCGCTGTGAGTGCCTTGGGCTAAGGGCAGCCCAACATGCTGAAGGAGGCTGCTGCTCCTGCTGACTGGCGTATGGCTGCTCAGCTGCTGCGTCTGGGCCAGAGGCGCGGGTACATTTGGCGTAGTAACAGAAGTGGTAGACGACACACTAGGCACGCTTGGAGCGGGCAACGCTGCAGGCACGTTTGGAACTCCGGGCACCACGGTGTGAGGGCCACCAGACACGGCTGACAGCTGACCACTGCCACCGATCTGCGGCGGAGGCACCGACGGGGGCTGCCCGGGCCCCGCAGGACCCATGCCCTGCTGCACCACGCCTCCCACAGCAGCCGGGGGCACACCAGCTGGCTGACAAGGCGCCGCCTGCCCGCCCTGCGCAGGTCCCGGCCCCGGAGCCACAGCTTCACTGGGCTGAGGAGACGCAGTTACTAGCTGCGCGGCTGCCGAGGCGGCGTTCTGGCCGGCGCCCAGGGGAAAGCTGGCCGCGGCGGAAGGGGTCGCTCCGGCGCTAGTAGACGAGGGCTGCGCGGGGCTCGGCGGCTGCAGGCCGGTCACGTGCTGCTGCAAGTACTCACTCTGGCCGGAGGGCTGGGCCGGCAGCAAGTGCCCAGGCGGCATCTGAGGCTGGGGGTACGAGAAGTGCTGCGGGTGCTGCGCGGCAGAAGCGCCGCCGGCCGCGCCAGGCTGCGGAGGCAGGGGCACAGCCGGCTGCGCCAAGGCTACATTCGTTGGCGGCAGGACCTGTCCCCCGGGCCCCGGAGGGGCGCCGCCCGGCCCAGCCCCCTGGAGCTGGCTCGGCGGTGCGGCTGCCATCATGGGCTGCGGCCCGGCAGAGGCTCCAGCGAACGGCGGCAGCGGAGCGGAGCTTGGAGCCACAGCCCCACCTACGGGCGGCGGCGGCTGCGGCTGCCCAACGCTGAAACTCTGCGGCGTGGCTGGAGCGGGCTGGCTCATCTTCTCCAACGGGGGTGGCTGTGACACAGCGGTGGAGGAGCTGTCAGTTCCCGAGTCGGGCCCGTGCGCCCCCTGCATGGAGGCCACTACCACCACCACCGACCCTCCGGTGGCGCCCAGGCCGCTGTCCCGCTCAGCAGTCTGATCGAAGGTATTGCTATGCCGAATGCAGTCCCCGGAGCGGGTCAGGACGCTGCTATCCGAGTCCCGCTCGTAGTACTCCATGCACGTCCATCGGCCGCGGCGGAAGGGTTCCCCGCTGCCGTGGTCCAGCTTGATCACACGGAAACGAGAACTACAAGTGGTGGGGGGCTGCGCTGGAGGGGCTGTCCCTGGTCCGCTGGAGGAGCCCGCCACTGGGGGGCCGCCGGGTGCTCCCGAGGTGGGGGCCGAGGTGGCGGCCGCCGCCAGGGAACTGGCGAGTGCCCCGGCCACGCTCCGGGCTGAAACTGCTCCTCCTCCGTTGGCAGGCGCAGCGGCCGCGGCCGCCAGTTGCCCGTCCAGGAGGAGGTTCGGGGAGACAGTCCCAGGAGTCTCCGTGTCCCCAACATTGTTGAGCGTCTCTTCAGAGGAGCTGCGCTCGCAGACCTCCTCAGGGCCGTAATCCGTGGCTCGGGAAACGTCGAATATCTCGGAGGAAACGTCCTCGGTGCGTGACTCGTCCGGGTCGTCCAGGCTCTCGGTGTCCTCTGTGATGCTGGTGGCCACCTGGGCAGTGGTGACACTGGTGATTTGGAAGCAGCTCTTCTTCTTGGCCGGCATCTTGGACATGGTGAAGAAGGCTGGCGAGCAGCGAAGACCGCGGCTCCTCGGGGATCCCACTGGAAACCGCGGAGGGCAACGCAAGGCCCGCAGACAAAGTCCAGTTCGCTCTGGTGCGAGGCCCGCCGCCCTACGAGTCACGGGCCGCTGCGGCCGCCGGGCGAGGCATCCTCCTCTCGCTTCC